AGCGTGACGTGACGGGACTTCAGGATATTTATATTTTGGGACTGTATAAATATGATGATAACTTACGCTTCCGCTTATCATATTTTGATGACTTATGATGCTATGATATTGTGACGTACTCGTTTTGACGAACTTATTATTTTTGACGAACTTTTGAGAACTTATGATTTCAGTAACCGGACGATTTTATTAAATTAAAACAACAGTTTTCTAAGTTAAGTCACGATTTTTAAAGGTAGAACCCCGAATCAGTTTTCGCAAAGTAAAAAGGTTTTGTTTTTAAATAACTTTGCGAATTTTAGCGCACTCTGATTTTACGATAAGGAGGGGTGTTACAATTGGTATCAGAGCACGTTTCTGCGTCTCTGATAAGTTTTTCAGTCAGTAATTTTTTCAGAAAAACCTGAACCGTCATGCTCACGCCCCGCCGACGACAGGTAAGTGCTGATGCAGTTTTTTTCAGTTATAAACATATTACTTTGTCTATGCTCAGAATTGAGGATCAGAATTGAGGATCAGGACTTTAGTTAAGATGCTCGAATCAGGTTCATATTTTACAGTTCGGACATGACTCTAGAATTCAGGCATTCAGATATGACTCTAGACGTTAGGATTTTCCTATATTACTCTAGAGTTCTTCAGGTTTCACGTCAGTATTTATCGGCCATTTTTGGCAACTCGTCAAGAGATCTGTGTGCCTTAAGTAATTAGTTAGTAATGTTATCATGTATTCAGTAATGTTAACTTTTCTCAATGTTCAGATGCCGCCACGTAGGGAACCCGATCATCAGGCTCCTACTCAGGCTATGGTAGTCGCTCAGTTCCACGACTATCACGCCGAAAAGTTCTCAGGGCAGGGAGACCCCCGCATCATTGATAAATGGATTCAGGGGTTGGAGTTTATCTTTGAGGTTATGGAATGCCCCGATAGGTATCGCGTAGTTTGCGCTCAGCTTCAGCTCACTGGTGATGCAAGGCTCTGGTGGAACGCCTACTGGAGCATGCGTCCTGGTGAAAAGGCGGGTTGTACATGGGACATGTTCAAGGAGTTAGTCCGCGACAAGTACTACCCTTCCTACTATCAGGCAGAGATGGAGCGCCAGTTCTTAGCGCTTCAGCAGGGTACTCGTACTGTCGATGAGTACGAGCGAGAGTTCACTAGACTTGCAGGTTTTGCACCGGATCTTGTTCGCACGGAGGCCCAGAGAGCGCAGCGGTTCATTGACGGACTTTACCCAGCAGTCCGTCACAACATCGTGGGACACGGGACTCAGACCTATGCTCGCGCAATTTCTATCGCCCAGGAGGTGGACGCTAGCATCAGGAGGGAGGCAGTCCGTGATCGTGCTCAGCCATCTACCCCAGCTCAGCCATTTGCAGCTCCACCAGCTCTACCAGCCCCTCAGCCAGCAAAGGAGAAGAAGAGGAAGGGAAAGGGTGCACAGACTGACCGGAGGACCCGACAGAGACAGCAGCCGATTCCACCGTGCCCGACTTGTGGACGACTTCATCGGTGAGAGTGCCGTATGGGACAGGACATTTGCTACTATTGCCATGAGCCAGGACATTTTGCGAATCGCTGTCCGAAGAAACTCCAGCAGCAGCCTCAGCAGCCACCACAGCAACAGCAGCCACGACAGCAGGCACAGAGGCCGCCTCAGCAGCAGCAGCAACAGAGGGGCAGGCAGCAGGCCAGGGTTTACGCGGTTGATCAGGCCGAGGCAGCTCAGCAGCCAGGTACTATGTCAGGGATGGTTGTTCTCAATGATATTCCTTTGTTCGCTTTATTTGATACTGGAGCGACGCATACTTTCATTTCACGACGATGTCTCGATGCCATCGGAGTTCACACCGTTACCGCTGTCGATCCTCTCGAGGTGAGTTTAGCCTCGGGACGAAAGATAGTGACCTCAGCTAAAGCCTCAGATCTTAGCCTTTCCATCGGTGGCCGAGTATTGACTGCCGACGCGTTTGTTCTCGAGATGAGGGACTTCGACCTTATTCTCGGGATGGATTGGCTATCCTTCTATCATGCAGATATCAGGTGTCATGACCGGGAGATCACTCTCTATCTTCCGGGAGACAAGTCGATTACTTTCTTCGGCTCCAGGAATCGTTCACTACCTCATGTTGTTTCGATGGCGAAAGCCACTAAGTTATTGCGACGAGGCAACTGCCAGGGTTATCTGGTGAGCCTTGCCGATGATTCTCAGAAAGCACGTTCACCTCACGATGTTCCAGTCGTTCGAGAGTTTGTGGACGTATTCCCAAACGAGCTTCCAGGAGGACCGCCCAACCGTCAGGTGGAGTTTTCTATCGACCTTATTCCGGGGGCCGGTCCAGCATCTAAAGCCCCATATCGCATGGCGCCTAAGGAGTTGCAGAAGCTTAAGACTCAGATTCAGGAGCTGTTACGACTCGGTTTCATTCGACCGAGCGTGTCACCGTGGGGAGCACCCGTTCTCTTTGTTAAGAAGAAGGATGGATCCATGCGAATGTGTATCGACTACCGGGATCTTAACCGGTTGACGATCAAGAATAAGTACTCGCTTCCCAGGATCGACGACTTATTTGATCAGCTGAGGGGAGCCTGTGTGTTCTCGAAGATTGACTTACGATCAGGCTACCATCAGCTGAAGATTAAGGAGTCAGACATCGCTAAGACCGCTTTCAGGACTCGTTACGGCCATTACGAGTTCGTCATCATGCCTTTCGGTCTCAGCAATGCGCCAGCAGTATTCATGGACCTCATGAACCGTATTTTCCATCCCTACCTCGATCAGTTCGTTATTTCTTTATTGACGATATTCTTATTTACTCGAAGAGCCAGAAGGAGCACGAGGAGCATCTGAGGGTGGTTCTCGAAACCCTCAGACGAGAAAAGTTGTACGCCAAATTCTCCAAATGCGAGTTCTGGCTCCAGCGAGTATCCTTTTTGGGTCATGTGATTACTCAGGCAGGCATCGAGGTGGACCCTTCTAAGGTTTCAGCCGTTCAGAATTGGTCGACACCGAGGAGTCCGTCCGAGGTTCGCAGTTTTCTCGGTTTAGCTTGTTACTATCGCAGGTTTATCGAGGGCTTCTCCAAGATTGCCCTCCCTCTATCCCAGCTGACGAGGAAGTCTGTGAAGTTCGAGTGGACTGGTCGATGTGAGGCGAGCTTTCAGGAGCTCAAGAGGAGATTAACTTCCGCACCGGTGTTGACTATTCCCGATCCTTCTCGGAGTTTCACTATCTTTAGCGATGCTTCGAGACAGGGCTTGGGATGTGTCCTTATGCAGGACGGACAGGTCGTTGCGTACGCTTCACGTCAGCTTAAGCCTCATGAGCAGAACTATCCTACGCACGACTTGGAGTTGGCAGCAGTCGTTCACGCTCTAAAGATCTGGCGACATTATCTTTATGGCGGACGATGCGAGATTTTCACAGACCATAAGAGCCTGCAGTATATCTTCACGCAGAAGGAGCTTAATATGAGGCAGCGCCGTTGGCTTGAGCTTGTCAAGGATTACGATTGTTCTATCCAGTACCATCCGGGAAAAGCGAACGTCGTCGCGGATGCCCTAAGCCGAAAGGTGAAGGGCGACTTGACGTACGTCATTACGCAGCAGAGTCCGTTGATT